TAATTCTAAGAACTCATCGAGGAATTTGCAATGGTGTAAGTGCTTATCAGCATTTTTCTACAAAGACTTGCTTAAATTTGACTCTTTAGTCTGCAAGACTGTCATTATGAACAAAATATTGATCTCTTCAGCCCTAGAGGGTGCGGCTGAGAGCAGTCTTGTATTTTTTTTTTTTTACCAGTGTATATATGGATATTATCATTTATTGCCTGTACCATGAATTGAAAAACTTTGAGCTCTTTTTTGCTGTTCATGGTACTGGTTTCATATTTCTGAAAGCTTTTTGTAACATCCATTAATTTCCTAGAAGTTGTACCTCAAGGGAAATGTATTGCTGATCTTTAATTTTCACTTCTAAATTTAAAGTGAACTTAATAATGATATTTATTTATTTTGTAACTTGTTAAGCATTAGCATTTACTTCTGTGCTAGTAGACGTCTTGGTAGGCTGCCTCCAAGAACTTTTGAAGGAAGGCAGGGGCAGGAATTATATTTGCACAGTGACCCAGATTGTCAGTGTCTGCAGTTGAGGTTTAGTTTTTATCATCCTTTTAGAAGTTGGCATCCTTTTCTTTGTTGTGTTTTTAGTCAAGTGCCATCACTGGCTAAAATGCAGTGAAAAAGCAAGTAAGAAATTGGCTCCAGAGTACAGTTGGGAACACATAAGAGGTTCATTTCTGTTATATCTTTCATTTTTATTTACTTGTTATTAAAAACGTTAAGAAATCATTGATTTTTCTGGTAGTACAGAGTTGTGAGTTCATTTCTTTACTTGATGAAATGATTCGGACAAATCCCAAGTGTAACCAGAGCTGGACCAAATGTTAAATTGCTGGTGGAAACTTGCCACTAGAGGGCAGTGCCTGTGTGGGTGGGAAAAAAAAATTGCCACAGGTAAAATTTGTGGGTAAGCAAACTTCGTTTTTTCTCTCTGGAACATTTCCTGTGGTACTTCTAAAAAGTCCTGATACTGTTCTTTTACTTTCTGTACTGCTACATACATTTTTTGTGTATGTGATTAGATACACAGACTTGAACAGGTTTACTAAGGATTTATTGTACCAGTACTTTACTCTTGGAAATACAGAAGTTCTTCCTCAGTATTCTCCTTCTCAACACAAAGCTGTGTGGTACAGAGTTATGATGTGCTGAGTTGGACTTTAACAGTGAAAACATGGAGGGGGATTTACATCTTAAAAAGGCCCCATACCCAACACAAGTAAAATAAAAGGTGTTCTGCTGTAATTGGGATTTCAAAGGCTTGCGTTCCTATTTCCACACTCATGATGCAGAACAGAAACTTAGCAGTAAACATATTCATTTGTGAATTTTCATTTCTTCTTTTACAACTTAATAAAAATCTTGAAATGTGCAGGTTGTCCTGTTTGGTGTATTATTACGATTTGCAAAGAATAACTTGAAACAAAGTTTGAGGTTAACTGAAATGTAGATGTTGAATGTATACAAATAATTTTTAAGAAAAGTCTTAAAACATGATTAAACTTTGTTTTATAAAATTGTGTTTTTCTCAGACTTCTTTACAAGAGTCATGTACATTTTTTTTTTATTACTGTTTCATATTTTCCACATCTGTGCGTTTTTGCAGTCACTGATTAAATATTTGAGGTGCAGGCAGGTATAGCACAGTAAGGAACAGGTGCCAGGTCACTGCCAGTGTATGCCTGTTGTGCCTTCCTGCCCACCTTGTTTCTTTTCCATGTGTTTGCTGGTCACTTGTTTTGGGGGACATGGAGGGTCCATGGTGCAGCCATGTACATGTATAAAGACCAGTTCACAGTTGCATGTGTTTGGACAGTAGTGGTAGTATGCTGCCTCTTTAGAATCCTAAACAGGATAATGAAAATGCTTGGGAAGGTCTTTTGGCTGGTAGGATGAGATTTTCCAGGGAGATGGTTAAAAATTATTCCTGTTTGACTTTAGTTTTCATTGTATCTCTTTTTCTGAATATTGAATTTGGATTTATACTCACACTTTTTAAACTTAATTCTTATAAAGAAATGCATAAAACTTTAATGCCTAAAAAATTCTTAACTGGAGCTGTAGTCTAGAACACAAAATGGGGCTTGGGAGATAGCTCAATAGAATAAGTGCTTGCCTGGCAAGTGCAAGATCCTAAGTTCAATCCTCAGTACCACACACACAAAAAGGACATGAAGTGTATGGATTCTAAGCCTGCCTCTGCTGTCAGCAGGCGGTATGATCTTAGGTGTGTTCTTTATAGTCTTGACCTCTATGTCTTACTGATCAAAGGAGTAGGGATCTTCATAGATGGCTGAGGTTCCTTGAAACTGCCATTTGCCTCATGACTTTGGGAAGCTATTTATAAAGATGAAGCATCAGTTCTTGAAGTGGAAAGTCAGGAACAAGATTTCATTGTTTGAATTTCTCTTGCCTAAGATGTCAGTGTAGGGGTGGCCTCCACCCAGATTACTCTTTGGGATATGTTTTCTGCCAAGAAATTCTTATGAGGAAAAGAAAATGAGGGTAGGTAGAAATTTTTTTCTTAGGAATAGAATTTTGAAGTTTATCATCTGCTATATTTACCTTGGATAATTTGTATTTTTAAAAATTGGCTGTTCCTAAAACTAAACAGTAGTTTTCTATTTAATTTTGATTTGCAGATTTTTTTTTTTTTTTTTTAAGGTGGGTTTGAGAAGCCTTATTAACTTGAGGGCAGAATGTTCTTACATCCAGAGAAAGATGGTAATCATGTTCTCCATTAGTAAGAGAAGAATGTTTGGATTGTAATTTTAAGTTTAGCTTTGATCTCTGCTTTCTGTTGGGTACTCGATGTAGCTTAGTTGTCAACATACCGTACATCTAGGTGATTATTGCCTATTTTAGGGTAACATTTTGTATGTAAGAATGTATACATAATTTATACCGTACAATGAAAGAGCAGATAACTATTGTGAAATTGCACAAAATGCTTTTATTACTCTAAGCAAATAAGTTAAATTGCATTTCCCATTAAGATAGTGCCTCAGGTCATTTATGCATACAGTAGTTCACTGGATTGAGTACACAGTGAACAACTGGAAAAGGAATCCATTTCCATCATTAATCTGATAATCCCAGGCAAAAATCCAAGCTCCTTATCAGACTACAAATAATGATCAAAACAATATTTATTGGTGCCCAACATTTTAAGATTTACTACTTAACCATGAAATAATTATCTGAAAGTGATGACAAGTAGCATTTTAAGATGATATATTTCTTCAGTAAATTTCAAAGCGATTTCTCTGTGGGGAACTTCCTGACCAGATAATTAGAATTTTGTACATCCTCAGATGTATAAATATAATTAAAGAACCACTCTTAACTTTGACAAAGATATGTTTTCTTTAACAAATACCCACACAAAGTATATTCTCAATTTTTCTCAAGTATGATATTAAGGAAGTTAGCCAAAAATGGGAGGTTGATATACCTCCAGTTCTGAGTGCAGCAAGGCTAAGCCTCTGTAATTCATGCAGGGCTTTCATGCATATAGTGTGGTACATATATCAGAATTGGGAACTTCTTGGGCATTTTGCTTTTCACTGGGAAAGTTAATACACTCTGCATTATCTGAGTAACGACATGTTTTTCACAAAGCCTATGGTTTTTATGTTAACTCCCTCAGATACATCAAGTATTAAAAAGTCCCATTGGTGCTTAAATAGTGAACATTTTGCCTTTCTGGGTATTTTACAGGTTTACTTACAAAACAGCATATATATTTTTTAAAGCTCAAATACTTAAACTTGCAGAAGTTATGCTTACAACTTGAAAGTATAAAGCAGGTTTAGTAAAATGTGAAAAAGAACACTCAGTTGTACATACAGTTTATTCTGAGCTTAAGTTTCCCTGTCAGTGTAACTGTCCCTATCATACATTATCCACTCTAGTTGAGGAGTGGAGCGCTCACTTGTCAGCTCTACTTGTAAATGAACACAACATTATTGAATTCTAAAAGATACTCTGAATACATTGTACAGGACCAAGCATCAGTAAATACTTCAAAGGCAATGAAAGCATTTTCTTACAAACTTATTGAATGACAAGTGAAATAAAACTTGCTAATATGAATATGAAATGTAAAACTATTTCTGCTTATTCTCCCAAGCAATACTTCAGAATGAGGATGTTCTCCTCTGTGCCTTAGTGACTTATGTTGCATCTGTGGATTTGTTCTTTTTGAAAAAATATATCTCTACAGCCTTCTTTAAGTAACAAATACCTGAAAGTAATATGTCTTTCCCCCTTCTATTCTTTCCCATTGCATAAGCGTGTGGTGTACAGAGCAATGCAAGGGGAGGGAACTCCAGTCTAAGGTAAGAAAATAGAATGGATTTCTTGGTTATGAGTTTTCAGATATACTTAGAATTCAGGTGCACAGTGATAGCAACAGTGGACACCAGAGAATCCAGGAACATAGAGGCTGAGCAGCAGGCTGCTAAGTGAGAAGGGTGGCTAGGAACACCAGTCTGACTGGGTACAGACTGCTATTTTACCCATGCAGCTTCTGTGGCTCATGCATTGCCTTAGGATCTGTAGTCCTTTTTGCTGTAGGGCTTGTTGCGCAGTATGTTATCAATCTCATTTACCACATGTGATGTCATCTTTGGCAGAACCTGAGAACGGGAGAAGAATGTTGTTAGCTCTTTTCTGGAGCTCAGTACTGAGCAGAGACGTATTTATGAACCAGAGCTGGAATAGAAACTCCCCATTAGACTCTAAGCTGCTTGCGGTTAGAGATCTTCCTGGACCAAATAAGTGAAGCAATGAGAGAAATCTTGTAGGCTTGTAGAAGCTTAGAACAAAAAATAACAACTCAGAACAGCTGTGTCTAGTAGAAATATAATGCAAACCACAGGTAATTTAAAATTTTCTAGTTATAAAAGCAAAAGGTAAAATTAATATATTTTTACTTCATTATATCCAAAGAATGATTTTAAATGTGCAATCGATATGGAATGTTAAAATACTTTTCTTTGTTACTGAGCCCCACATGTTTCAGTGCATGTTTTAAACTTACAGCATGTCTACATCTGGACTAGCCACCTTTCATGACCTCACTGACCACAGGGCTAGAAGCTGTGGTCACAGACAGTACTGGTCTGGAGATTGAGAAGGAACCCCTTCTAACTGGTGTTCAGAACCCTGGTAAAGGATGACCAGGGTTAACTGGCCTCACAGATAAGAATGCTGACAAGGACAGACGATGGTGGCTGGGCAAGAGTAGCAGAAGTGGAGGAAAGAAGTTGAGGTAGAGTGGCAAGCTTTGAATGACATTTTGTGCATTTGAAGCTATTCTCTAGGCAGTGGGGAATGTCTCAGGACTTTGAACCACAGGTGAGTCCTTTAACCTGAAGGTAGTTTGAAGGATGCATTGCAGGAGGCTGGGAGGGGACCTGTGTTGGAAACATTGTAATGCATGCTGGAGACAGGGCCTTAAAGATAGTGGAGTGGAAGAGAAGAGAGACATGGAGATGGTGTGGTTTTGAGGTGATAGTTTGTTGAGATTGGAATCCAAAGGAACAGTCATTTCGGGATAAGCAGTTTATAGTATACATTGATCCAGGTAGAAACAGCTTGTAGGCAGCTAGAAGTACAGCTTTGGGGTTCAGGAGTTGCAGAATTGGAGCTCTGAGACTGGGAGCCACTTGCATGGACATGTGCACTGGAGCCCTGGGAAAGGATAAGGCTCTGGGGCTATTTATTTATTTTGTATTTTAGGGAAAGGTCTACAGGTTCTCACTACTAGATTGGACTTGTAGGGATCCGCCTGTTTACACCTCCCAAGAGCTGGAATTATAGGTGTGTGCCACCATGCCCAATCTCAGTTGCCATCTCAGTGCATCCCGGGGGCAGGGCTGGCGCAGCAGGCCCAGGGATCAAACCCCTAGCCCCTGCACTTGCTTGCAGGTGCTTTAATCTGCTGAGCTATTTGGCCGGCCCTTGGGGCCATTTATTGTAAGTGCGCCAAGGACACACTACACTCTCAAGACAGGGACAAAGGCTGACTTGCTGGAAAAGCCTGACCCTGTCTTTGGTAAATGCAATTTTGAGGACCAGCTCTGAGGTTTCGGCCTCACCCTTTGCTGCAGTCGTGGCCAAGGTGACCTTGACTGCACTCAAGTGCTATTCTTGAAGGCTGGGGTTTGGCCGAGTTTTGGCGCTCCTCAGCCTGGGCCAACTCAGAGGGTCTGAACAGCCAAAGTGTTATTTAAAAGTGAGATTATAAAAATGAGTATGAAACCTGAAAAGATTTATTGGAAATTTTGTATCTCAAATGGTCTAGCTATGTCAAGAGAAAAATATTAATTACAAGATACATTTAAGGTAGAGATTACTGAAAACTCATGAAAGTATTTGAGTAAAACATGGAAAATATATAGTAAGAACAAAACAAAAAGGGGCCACATTTTCAGAATTTTAGCTGAAATTATCCAGTTTTTAAAAATGTTGGAAACTATTTTACATTTTAGGCCACTTAAGAGGTCTATATTCACCTCCTTTTTCTGGCTGGAAGAATTGGTGGAGTTAGAGAATGGCTGGTGGTCCCTGGGCTGATGGGACGGCGGGGAAGGCCTCTGCATTGAGCCCGATACTGCGGGACAGAGGGCTTTTGCTAGACAGGGTTGGACACTTGGGAGGCAGCACATGGACCATTCTTTACATGTGGGATCTGAGTATCTGCTGGTGCCTGGAGGTTAGGGTTCTAGGGAAGTTTGTGTGTGTACATGGGGTACTGGAGGCAACAGGCTTCAGTATGGAGGGCCTGGCTGCTAACGAGCCTAGATTTCTCTGGGTAGATGATGGGGAGCCGCAGAGAGCCGCAGAGACTTGGAGGGAGGGGGGATGCAGAGGCAGCTCTGTTCATTAGTTTAGGTAGAGGTAGAAAAGAGGACTGTGCAGCCAGGCTGCCTACAGCTGTGGTTTCTGTCCAGTCTCTCCCACCTATGGAGCACCTGATTTGTGTCCACCCCTCAGGCTTTTGTATGCCTTCGGCATACCATGTCCTTTGGAGCAGCTACCTTCTCAGCCTGCTAGAAAATTCCTTACAAGGGTGGGCACTCCATTCTTCTACAGCCAGTCCCACCAGTGTCAGGTATGTGTAAGTTGAGCAAAAGAGAAAGGGCTGGTCAGCCCCCATAGTAGCAGCCTTGCTGCTTGCGTAATGTCCCTTTTCTCTTCTCTGTGAGCACGTGTGCCTCATCCGTCCTTTACCAGCCAGAGCTTCACTGGGGAGGAAGTGCTTTGGGAAGACAGTGACTCATGGTTACCTGTTATCCCTTCCCTTCCCCTGGCTGCATGACCTCCCCTGAGATGGTACGATCACCCTGAGTTAGTGTAATGGGACCCATACGCTCCTCTCTCTTCCGGCCAACCCATGTTTGTCTTTTCCAAACCTGTGAGAGTCGTTTACTCTTTCCACCTCTGTGTCCTAGACTGCTGCCCCTGCCTTTCAGTTTTGCTTTCCATGTGGCAGATAGAGCTATCTTTATGCAATGGAAGCATGTTGCTTCTCTTAAAACCCTGCAAGGAATTTTATACATGAAAGATAAACTGCTGTCCGTGGGGTCCTGGGAGGTCCGGTGCCTGCTCTGCACATCCGTGTGTCCCTTGTTCCTTTTGCTTTGGCTCACAGCAGAGTGAGGCCTCCTCACGTTGGCTGGAGGCCGGCAATGGGCAGTGTGTGGGAAAAGCCGAGTGCTTTCCTGCCTCAACGTCTTTCTACTGTCCTTCCCTGTCCCTGGAATAAACTCCTGGGCTTTTCACCTGCTATGAGAAAGATGTGAATAGATGGGAAAGGCTTGAAATAGACATGGTAGAGGGACCTTTTGCAGCAACATAAATGTAGCCCCCCCATTTTTCCATCAGTGAAGTACAACAGCCTGTTTATTTGCTTAGGAGCCCTTTTCACAACGTGAAATAATTTTGTGTGTTTATTTTTATGTCTCCTGCAATACAAGCCCCTTGGAAATTGGACAGTATCTTTTTGGTTTTTTTTTTTTTTTTCTTTTGTATCGCCAGTGCCTGATACAGAGTAAGGACCTGTTGAATGATTTAAGGGATAGATTTCTTAATTGACTTTCTCAGCCAGCTAGTGAGCAACGTGAGGGCAAGTGCTGTTCTTACTCACGGCAGTACTCCCACTCCCTAGCTCTTGGTGTCAAACAGTGGGTGCTGCAACAATATTAGTAGACTTGAAACCATTAGATTGGATTTTAGTTCTTTTTGTGTACAAACTTTCCCTCTCTCCTGTCCTCAGAGGTGGGCAGCTGTGTGGGGCAGCTCATAGGAGGGTGCCTTCTCCGTGAAGAAGCAGGGCCCACAGAATGCAGGAAGCATGGTGGGCTGGGCAGAGCTCCCAGAAGCAGAGAGATGGTGGTGCTTTACCATGCTGTGCATTCCTAGGGAAGGTGTTGGGGAGCAGGTGGGCCCCACCAGTTACTCCCCACATATTCTGGGCTATTATGTAAAAGGGCTTTTCACACTTTCAGTCTGTCCGCACCTCAGTCTCTCTTCCTCCTTGAGTGTTGGCTAGTTTCAGGAACAGGTAGATGGAGGAGAAGCTGGGAGACAGGCCTGGTTCTCTGGATAAGAAGGAAACACACTCGTCCTCACCTGTTGCAGCAAGTAGTGACTGGAGGGAATAAATGGCCTTTGTATGATGTCCTGTTTCTATTAGATTTCAAGTAGGTAAGAAGGTTTTTATGGTCAGGCCTGGGAAATCATTTGCTGGGAGTGATACTGGAATGCCTGTCCTACACAGATGAGCCATCCTGACAAGTTAGCTTTTGGAGCACTGCCTGTTACTAATAACGGTGACAACCCTGGATTTGTAGAATGAAAGCTTTCTGTTGCTTTTTTTTTGTGTGTGGAACCAGGGATTGAACTCAGGCCCTTGCGCTTGCCAGGGAAGTGCTTATTCTACTGAGCCATCTCCCCGGCCCCTCTGTTGCTTCTTATGACTGTGTTCCCCTGCTCAGGACAGAGGTGGAGACATCTTAGAAGACACTGTGGCATTCCCAGGAGCTTGCAGGCAAGGGCTGCAGTACTTGCCTGAATGGCACCGAGGTTTTCAATGAGTTGCTCTGGAGTGGATGATCCCAGAAGCACAGAACTCACGCCTTCATTTCTCAGGCACCACGCTGGGAATAGAGAACACAAGGTCGGCAGCATGTCAAAGCACCTGTGATTATTGGTTAGCTTACAAACACCAGGCACAGTTATGCTTGTTGCAGTCAAAATTTTGTATTAATTTTTTTTTTTTTTGTGGAAAATGCTCTCTGGGAATAAAACCTGAGCAGCGCCCCCTGCTGCACAGAAGATTGGTAGAATCTGGGCATTTGGGTTCTTAGGCTTTCTAAGTGGGGCTTTGCCCTAGCTACCTGGTGTCACTCCAGCTCCCCACAGAGGAGGGCGTGCTAGCTGGCTCTTCCCTCTATCTCTGATCTTGCTTTCCTTGTCTGTTGTTTCCGAGTCCTGCAGAGGGATGTCTGATTCCTTCATTTCCACAAGCACCTCCTGGGCTGATCATTCAAATTCCTCCCTCCCTGCCCCTTTATCTTAATCCCTCCCACCCCCCACCCCCGCTCTGGGGAACTGGGTGTGTCCCCTCTTTTTTTCCTAAAGAAGAATACTATTGGTATAATTTATGCACCCTTCTCCTCTCAAAGTACTTTAAAAGTCCCTTAAATACTCTTTGGTAAATTTACCAACCATCGCTGTTTTTAGTATGTAATCATCACCATTTATTTTTGTAACATGGGGTTGAACCCAGGGCCTTCACACTGAGCTGAACCTCCAGTCTGTTTGGTTTTTGAGACAAGATCCTCCTAAGTCTTATTCTGGGCTAGATACCTACAATCCTCCTGCCTTGCCTCCCAGAGAGCTGGAATTACCAGCAAATGTCACCAGGCCTGGCTGCAGCTGCCACCATTTTTAACCCAACTTTAGACCATTTGTGCCACTCCAGTAAGATCTCCCCTGCATCTTCCTACTCCAGACCTAGGTAACTGGCAGTCTACTTTTGGCCTGTAGATTTGTCTTTTCTGGTCATTTTCTCTGAATGGAACCAAGTACCAGATGGTCTTTGTGTTTGGCTTTTCTTGCTTTGCATCATAGATTCTTCATGCAGTAGTGCATGTAACGTATTACTCTTCCGTTGCGGAGTGGTGGGCTGCTGAGTGGGCTCTACCTTTTGGGGGGTCTCGCCTGCTGCCACCGCCTTCGTTCGGCGGCTCACCCGCCCTCCCCTGCAAACTGGCTTTGCTCCCTCTTCAAGCATTCCCACTCCTCAACCATATAGCCTCTGTACATCCACTGAGATTTTGCTAAATATAAATCTGATGGTGTCACTCCCCTGGCTAAAAGTTTTTCAGCTTGTACATAACAAAGGTCCTATAAAGCAGAACTCATTTTTTGCCCTAGCAAGCATTACTTTTTAATCTGCCTCCCCTGTATCACATCTCCCTGTGTTGATTCTGTGCTTCGCACAACTCCTCTGTCCCCAGGTGTCTGGCTGTGTTTCCCTGGTTGTCTCCTGAGTGCTTTGCTCAAGCCATCCCCATTGCCTGCACATACTTGTCCCTCTTCCCTTCCTTTGCCGCACTGATGTCTGCTCATCCTTTGAGATTCCCAGCGGCATCACCTTCAGACCCCAGGCTGGGCGGGGTGCGCCTGCTCTGGACTCTCTAAACCCAGATCCCATTCTCCATTCTGGAATATCTCTGGGCTCTGTCAGAGGCCTGAATCGGGGCCTGAGTGTCTGTACTCTCTCTCGTTCTTCTCTTCAAGGCTATGAGGATAGTTGGTCCCTTTCAGGCCCCTGTTGCCAGGCTGGGCCTGAGAAACGGACAAGTGAGTTTGTTCAGTTCGGCCAAATTGGGACAGCAGCTGGAGCACACAGGAACTCCAGTTTCTAGACGGGGCAGAACAAAAGCCAGGAGGTTTACATGTGTGGATTCAGCCTGGCTCTGGCCCAGCTAGCGGCCCAGGAAATGTCGGGTGTTGCAGCCTCCCTGGCATGGGGTGCGGTGTGGTGGTGTTTTTGCTCTTAGTATGCGGAGGCTAGAGGAACAGCTTATCTTAAAAAAAAAATTACAGGGCCAGGGAGATGGCTCAGTGGAATAAGCGCTTCCCTGGCAAGCGGAAGGGCCTGAGTTCAATCCCCGGTTCCGCAAAAAAAAAAAAAAAAAATTACAGAAGCATTTTACCTTTAGATTACATTATCTGTTTATTTTTCTTTTTGCCCATTAGGCTGTGAGGTGTGGCTCATTTGCAGGGGGATCTTAGAAATGTACTCAGTACTTGGAACGAAAGAGGTACTTAGTAACGCTTGTGAATAAGCACAGGTATAGGTGACTGATGTCTGTTGCGGGCGCCGCTCTGTCCCTCTGTGCTGAAGGCGAGTGATACTCTTAGCTGTTACCATGTGGGGGTCTTCTCAGTCATCTCTAGGTCTTTCCACATGGATAAATGGTGCTTTATAAAGGCACCAATCCATGGATTTTTTTTTTCTTTTCCCACTGGGTCTCACTCTGTAGTCCAGGCTGACATTGTGCTTCCTACAGTCCTCATGCTTTAGCCTCACGAGTGCTGGACTCACAGTTGTGTGCCACCACAGCCAGTGAGATCCCGGGCTATGTTATTCTCTCCTCTCTCCTTTTCTGGTGTGTGTGTGTGTGTGTGTGTGTGTGTGCTGTATTATTTCTTGCTTTGTACTTAGAATCTTCTTGGCCTCAGTGAGAGTTCTGACTGTAACAAAGAGACCTGGGCAAGTTACTTTGAAGTTGCTAGCAGCTGATTTCCCCCAAGAGCTGTAGGGCAAAGAAGACCCTACTGGGCGTAAACGTGCTCCCTGGGTAGCACCTGCAGCGGATGCTGGGTGATCAGCCGCTCCGAGTGTGGCCAGCCCGCACTGCCTCTTTGCCACGGTGAGGTGCGATGCTGGCTCCTGAGCAGGTACGTTACTCGGCAGGCGTGGCTGGGCCGCAGGGGCTGGTTTCCTGCCCAAAGCTTTGCTTCCCCCACATCCTCCTTACAGATGGAAGGTGATAACAGTGGGAATTGTTTCCCTTTTGGCTTTGACAGTTGCATGGTTAAAAACAAAACTGCTTGTTTATAAAGAAAAAAGAAAAATGACAGACAAGGAAGACGCCTGAGGTGTAGAGGAAGGAAAAGGAGAAAAAATGTTTTGACTCAAGCTCACACTTTATATGGAAGCTATTTCACGTATTTCTGCCATCCGGTAAAAATTGAAATTCTGTAAAGATTTCCCTGCTAGAAAGACAGTTGTGCTTACATCTTGTTCCTTGTACTGGTGGGAGATTGGCTCAGGGCTTGCCAACGATGCCAACAGTTAAGGCACTCACAGCATGGCATTTGCATGCACTTCCTCCTGGTGCTTCACGTCACCTCTAGATTACTTAGGACACATAGTACATGATACATAGCTGATTAAATCCATGGATGTAGATGGCCACTGTGCTAGCTCATGTTAGCACCTAAAATCAATTTTATGACTGCAACATTTATGTTTCTTTTTGGGGGTATTATTCTGACTATTCAAATGACTTGGACTGAACGCCCAGGACATGTAATTCTTTGCCAGAGCATCATCATTGTCATCATCATCACTGCCACTTACTGCATACCTACTCTGCTTTGCATGTATTACTAGTTCTCTTTACTCATGTTTGTAAGATGTGTATTTTAATATTCATTTTCCACACAGGAAAATTTACATTAAATAAACTTGCTTTGGTCAGATAGCTACATTTTTTTCTTTACTCTATTAAAGCTCTTGGGATGTCAACTAATTGCACTAAATATTTTGTTGGCTTTTCTTTAAAGAAAGAGTCATATCTTGACACACTATATGTTTTTCCTCTAAAACTCCTTATTTCCATTTATTTCTATGTTTAACTGCAACTAACATTTTACTGACTTTGAGCCTCAGAAGGGTCAAGGTACCAACAAATATTCTGTTAAATTATTTTATTTGGATAGATCTTCAATGAACTTTATATCTCGTTGCATTATTATATCTGATTTGCCCCAACTCCTGGTGTTTTTTGTTTGTTTGTTTGTTTTTTAATCTTATAGGATTTTTTTTCTGGAATCAACAACCACTTTATTCCTTTGTTTGTTTGAGACAGAGTCTCACTATGTACTTCAGACTGGCCTTGAGCTCACTGTGTAGCCCAGACTAGCCCTCAAAATTGCGGCAAGCCTCCTGCCCCTGCCTTCTGAGCACTGGGATTGCAGTCATTTGCTACTATGCCTGACTTATTCCTTCCTAAATTCCAGCAAGTCCTCTGTTAATATCTACTGGCCTAGCCTCAGTAGGTTGGAAACCAGAACCAAAAGAAAAGGGTGTCACTGCGCAGTTCTCCTCTGATGCTAGTGAGAATGTGTGCTGCTTCATGAACATGTTTTTATCTAAACTATGTTAGAAGGAAGAACAGAAAGAAGAAAATTGTCTTGGCATATATAGAAATTCTATATAATTCATTTTGTGTTGAATTTACCAGGAATGAATGTTTTTGAGATCAGTTTGTCCATTCAGTAGACATTTTGTCTTGATAGAGAAGTGGATAATAACAGAACACACATATTCTGTGATCTCAGCCAAGGCGTGTCCCATCTCTGCCACCCCCTAGAAGTTTCTTACCGACGGCTAGCTGAGGTAGCGTGCAGCCTAGGCGCTCAGCAATTGGAGAAAGGTCTTTTAGCTTGTTTTGTTGCTTTCTCCCTTCTTCACTTACAATTCTTTCCTTCAACCACTGATAGCACTACAGGTAAGAATAAAAATAGCAATTAAATGTTAATGTCTGACAAGGATATGATGTCTAAAATTGCTAATTCAATAAAATATAAGAACTTTCAGGTGAAATCCTGAGTCTTCTTGATTCAGACTCTTCTGTTTTGTAATACAAGGGTATTTAGGTCTTTAGGCAAAGAAATGTCCTTATAGTCCTGTTCCTTGTTTATTTGTTCAAAACATTGCTTTTGGCTGATATTCATCATTGAATTCATCAATCACAAAAATCCTTAAAACCCTGACATTAGACAGTTATACCCCAATCTGCCAAATGGTGAAATTACAGTAATGTTTCTTACTGGAATACCCTGGGTTTTTTTGGAGTGGGCGAGAAGAGAGACAGAAAGAGATGGAGATTGTCATTTTACTGATGTATATTACTTTTCCTTTTTGTTAAAAAATATGAGTGCCAAGATTTCTGTTTAAAGTAAGCCTTTGTCTTAGATTCTTATTTTAAGTATTCTCTCTTCAGTTTACACATAATCTCACGTTCTTATAACGAAGGTTTATTATCGGCTTCCTCAACTTCTTTCTAGAAGTAGACATAGTATAACTGTTAAGTATCAAGTACATTTAAAAAATAAAACTGAATGAAGAATTTTCTCAATATGTGCTACCTATTATGTGACTATAGAAATTTAAGAAATTCAGCAAAGAGAGCTATTCTTTAACCTCTGAGGAGAGACTGACCCTGATCTGTGGAATATAAAGTGAATTTAATTTCCTAAATACAAAGAAAAAATTGTGTAGTGCTTCTGAGTGCCCTACTTTCCAGAAAGCTTTGTGCTTACTATGAAAGAGGAAATAACAGTCTCTTCTGCATAAAAATGGTACCAAGCAGCAACACCCAAAGGAACTTTAGTCCTTTTGGGGAAAATAAAATCCTCTTAACTCCATGCGGCAACATGGGCTTTCTCTGTTGCGTGTGTGGTGACATAAGTGCCACCCAGACCCTTACCTTCCCAGGGCGGTGGGCAGCTCTGCTGTGGGCAGTGTGCCACAGGCCCTCCACCATGTGATTTCAGTTCAAGAGCTGCTGGCTCTTGTTTTTTAAGTGTTTGCTTTCATCATTCAAAGAGAGAAGGGGAACCATATTATTTCTTACTGTGATGTTTGGAATTATTTTACAGATGTGAGAAAGAGAAGGGCCAGCTGTGCGTGCCATCTGCCTCCTGCATCTCAAAGGCCTGTGGTTTGGCTCTTTACTTGGGAGCATATGCAGGGAAACAGCCAAGAGTCTTCTGGCCTGAGATCTGGGAAGCTGTGACCTACTCTAGAGATGACAGCTGGTGCCAGTGCCAGTGGGGGGGATGGTTATGACTAGGACCTGGGCAAGGAGCCTTCCTAGGCCAGGCCACTACCTACATCAGAGAGACCCAAAGAACTTGCTTTTGCTCTCTTCCATGAGAAAAACATCATCAATCCTCACTAAAGTTTCATAACATCTTTCAGAGGGCTGATCGCTCTGAATTTTATTTAAACAAAAAAAATTGGATGCTGATGAAAGACACTCTGAATAATTTCTTTTTATTACAACAGGGACGGTTTCTGAGGCATCAGTAGATGCCACACTGGATGTATATATTCTAAGAATGGATTATTTAGCTGGGGGGTGGGGTGCACACCTGCAATCCCAGGACTCATGAGGCTGAGGCCAGCCTGGACTACATATTGAGACCCTGTCTCCAAAAATAGATAAATAAATAAATAAATAAATAAATAAATAAATGTAAAAAAGAATAGCTCATTTATTAATATCACTGAAGTTTTTCAATATTTCATTTATTAATCACTTGAGTTTTTCAAATTATACATGCAGTGCATTCTTTTATGGTTTGGGTATATGTGTGCATATATATATGTATATATGTGTGTGTGTGCATGAATGTATGTTTATGTGTCACAAATTCTCATACCATATTGAGGGCCATACATCCAAAAGTAACCAGTATCAGTCATTCATTCTTATTTATTGAATACTCTCCTTACTCTCAATATAATAAATTTCCTGTTGCTTTACTCAGTGCAATATAAGGAGTCAAGGCTTTAAAAAAGTAGATGCATGGTGTTTACACTGCTTTCATCACACCAAGAGGAACAAAAATGTTTCAGAAATAAGCAGCTTAAAACTAGGAAAATGTTAGCAGATGGAGACGATGGGACCTAAATAATTAAATATGGAAGTGAGCCACATCTTTACCTCTGACCCTGTGGCTGGTGTAGAGGGCTTAGTGAGGGAGGAGTCTCAGTAACTGGGAGACACCAGGGTAAAGATAAATCTCTTCAGTTTTTCATATAGAGCATGCGTTCCCCCTCCTCAGAGCAGAGCGACTTTCCTAGCTAGCCTACTGGGGTCCCGGGTGCTGGTGGATTCAACCTTGTTTCTTAACTTAGCTCTTACATATCTGTCTCTAGTAAGTCCCTCAACTATTCCTTGAAGGTTGAGCCTGTTCCATTCACCTCTATAATCCTTATTAGCTAGCACAGAATCTGGTGCCAAGTGGACTAGCAGTAGGAAATTGACAAAAAGTCAGTTAAATTAGTTTTTCCACCCTCCCTACTGTGGGCTATTCCTTCTGCAGGTATGCCACAGCATTCTCTACATTTTCCTATAACCATTACCTAGGTGTGCCACTTTATAGGTAATAACATCAGGGTGGGACTAGACTGTGAGACTTTTTCTGAAGTCTCCAATAGCTATTACTTACCCCTTTACTGAAATTCAGGCATTGAGTATAAGACATGATCAAAATATACAGTAAATTTATCAGACCCAAAAGCTACAACTCTTGTTGCATAGGTCCTGCTTTACTTTGGTCTTAACCACCCAGCAGAAAAGTATAAAAACGAAGTATAAGAAGTAAAGCCATGCTGTTATGTTGAGCTGTAGGGGACTCAGATCAACAATTTCTGACATTGCCAGTCAAGAGGAAGACCCAATACTATTATGGGCTACTGGACTCTTTTAGAATATTTTGCTGAGTTTACACACCTATAATATTCAAATAATGGAACTTAACAACAAAAAGGGGATACAGATGAATGTCCATTTTGTATCTGTATTCAAATGGCTAGGATCGATATACAGTTACATTCTCTTAATGAATAGAGGGATTTGTTCTAATGGTGTTTGTAAGTAGGATATCATGTCTGCATCTTGTACAGCAATTAACCACTAGGAAGAATGTATGCAATGTGTTAATTATTGAAACTGTCCTACCAATTTGGTTTGAAAAAAAAATAAAGTTGGAGATAGAAAAAAAATATACAGTAAATGTAAATATTACCTTAGGTATATTGCTATGAATCTCAAAATATTACTCCTCACTTTAATGTTATTATTATTTATATTTAGGACAGGGTGTACAGGGACTCACTGAGTAGATCAGACATGTAGTGATCCGCCTATTTACAGCCTCCCAAGTGCTGGGATTACAGGCATGCCATCACACCCAGTTTCAATTGCTTCCTCAGTGCACCTTGGGGGTGGGGCCAGCTCGGCAGGCCAGGGGATCGAACTCCAGGCCTCTGAGTCTGCCGAAGCAGGTGCTTTAATACACTGAGCTATTTGGCTGGCCCTACTCCTCCCTTTAAACACATGTATCCTAGTGTTCTTGTCACTTTCTGAACCAATTTTAGAAGTCTTTTCATGAGTGTCTTCATGATGTGTGATTAAAAAATACAGTAAGTTTGGCTAGTAGGTATGGTGAATGTGGCTGCTAGGGTCTAGTAAGACATTACTGCAATAAACCTGGTGAGAAATGACAAAGGTTTAGTTAAGGGCATAGCAGAGAGGCTGCTGCTCATGACTTGGGAGAGAGGAAGCAGGGAGAAGTAAAGGTAGGAGAGGAGAAGGGTAATATAATCTTCCTGGTCCCACCCACAGGGACCCACCTTGTCCCACCAGACCCTCCTTCCTAATAAGAAGTCTGCTATGGCTTTCCTGTGATCCCATTGTCTTCAAAAGGTCCTGCCTATGATTACATGAAGCTTTAGGCAGACACCAAGATATAAACCATAACATTCTGCCCTACCCTAGACCAATATGTATCTCTTTATGCAAAATGCATAAAATGCATCTTTAAGAATGACCAAAGTTTTAATAATTCGAATGTTGCTTGAAATGGGCAAGTCCAAAGTCTCCTCTGAGGCTAAGGAAAATTCTTAGGTGTAGGCAGTGGCCTCTGTAAAACAAAACAAACACTATTGGCAGTATTTAGTCAACATACAATGGCTGGGGACAAACATTCTCATTCTGAAGCAGGAAGAAGAGACTAGAAACATACAGGGCCAAAGCAAGGCCAAAATCTAGCAAGGCAAACACAAAATCTTATAGCTCTGTGTCCAGCACCTGGGACAAGTTTTGAGATTTGAATTACAAAAGACTTGGGAAGCCCTGACTCAAAGTATTGCTGGTAGTTGCTGCCTTGATGTCTTTTCTCTTAGGCTGGCTTTGCTCACTCCCTCAGATGACTTTGTCTAAATTCCTCGGGTTTCCAATGCTCTTTGGGCTTCACTCTTAGCTTCACACACTATTCTCTTATAGACACACTGCCTAATCTTCAAGACTGTCTTCTAATGTCTGGATGGAAACCACCAGGATCCCACAACTTTTGCATTCTGCATGTCTATAAAAATAGCATCAAATAGATGCTGCCATGTTCTGCCTCTGGCTCCAGCAGTAGCTGGGTCCTTTTGCCTCATAGCTGCAGGGGCCTCTGAGTACTTGGATGACTCAGCACTGTAAATGGAATCCTAGGGAGCCAATTTCCTAGGTGGCTTCTGGCACAGTGTCTTGGGGCTGTGGTCTCAAAGCAGTCTTTAACTTTTTACCCTTAAGTCTGTGAAGGACCGTTCTTCCCAGGCCCGCAAGGAATCCTTCCTAGTGTCCAGATAGAGAGGATTTGGCTCCTATTTCATACTAATCTTTTCAACAACCAATCTCTCCTCTGTTTTCACTTTGTAGGTCTCAACTTCATTAGGGCTTCCTTCCTGGACAAACTTAAAAAAAATTTAAGTCATTCATCTGTGCCATTTGCTCTTGGTTCTTAATGTAGACCTAGCTGAAAACTCTGAACAGTACCTGTGCTATAGCCTCAATGTTAGGCTTCCTTGAAATTTAATCTGCCAGATTAATTAGTCCCCTGCAAATCATCTGTTTTCTGCAATGTCTCAGGACATGAGCAAGATGTAGACAAATTTTCTGCCAGGGCACAACACACATGCTCTGGAGTGAAACTGAAAATGGAGTCCTTTTTCCCAACTAAACCTCCTGAGTCTGGTCTTTACTATCTGCTTTCTTGTCAGCATTCTGGTCTTCTGAGCTCTGACTAGAATCTCCCATCAAGCTCTGCTTATAGCAATCCACAGCTTCTCCAGCTGCATTTTCAAATCTTTCCAAACTCTTCCTATGAGCCAGTTTCAAAGATTTCTGAATCACACTGTCACATAGTGTCTTAGCAATGATCCCACTTCTCTGGTACCAAAATCTATCTTAGTCACTTTTATTATTTGAACAAAACACTTCACACCCATAACTTAAAATGGAGGGGTTAACTTTGGCTCACAGTTTCAGTCTGTGGTTATTGGCTTCAAGGCAGGACAGCACAGCCAAAGAGTTTAGCCAAGGAGAAGCTACTCATGGGATGGCAGACAAGAAGCAGAGATTACGACCAAATTATAGTTGGTTTGTCAAGATCTAAACCCCACTGTAAAACAAGGAACACCTGCACAGCAATTTATTTAGCTTGGCTACAACTCACTAAAAGCCAATCTGTATCCATGTCTCTTTCTGAGGATAAAGGAAGATGAATAAAAACACTTAGATGGTTGCTTGGTACATAGGAAGTGTGCATGCTTAAGTAAAGCGAGGAGCTAAGAAGGGCGATGTAACCTTCCTGGCCAAGCTCTCAGTGGCTCACCTCTTCCAACCAGCCCTCCCTCCTGACAGCCAGTCAGCTATAGACCTCCATGATCCAGGCACCTTCCAGAGGTCCCACTTAGGATTCTGTGAGGCTTTAGAGAGACATCTAGATGTAAACCATAGTATCACCTTCAAGCAGTCTCTCTCTCTCTCTCTCTCTCTCTCTCTCTCTCTCTCTCTCTCTCTCTCTCTCTGCACTGTAAATATCACTTTTATTGATATAGGGCCTTGCTACACAGCTTGAACTTATACCCAGGGATTACAGGCATGCACCATCACACCTGGATTCAGTGATGACTCAGCACGCCCAGCCTGGGGTTCCAGGGCTAGCACAGCAAGTGGTATCAGGGATTGAACTCTGGACCTTGCACTCATCAGGCAGGCTCTTAGACTGCTGAGCTATCTCCCCAGCCCCTGCCTTCTCTTTTTGCAGTTGCATTAGCAAGCTTTTTCCCAAACAATAATGCAGATTAGGTAATCATGTACTCCAAATGTAGCATAGCTCCTTCCTGTAAAAATTTTGAGTTTGAAGGAAAGCAAAGATGTCTTTGGGGGAAGATAATTAACTGAAAGCCAGGAGACATGGTTCTAACATCAGCTTTATTTGTGAGAAATTTATGGCCTTGAAGTTCCTGTATTTAATATATTTATCTTGTTATATAACACAATTATATTTTAGTTTCTGCATCCAGAAAAGGCTGAGAACAGCATATATGAGAATATTTTGAATTTTTCAGAAAGCCTGCAAAAGCCTGTGCAGCTGGTCCTCAACAATGGCTTGATCTCGCTTTTTTTTACCTTATGAGGGTGTGAAAGTACACTTTTACAACTTCTTTTTTGCACTTTCAGTACAAAATTCAGTAAGTTACATGAAATAGCCAACACTTTAGTATAAAATGGGCTTTGTGTTAAGTGATTTTTGTCAGACTGTAAGCTACTGTGTTTTAAACACATTTACGGTAGGCTAGGCTAAACTGGTGTGTTTTGTAGGTTTGGTATATTAAATGAATTTTTTGACTTAAAATATTTTCAAATTACAGTTGGCTTATCAGACCTGAACCCCACTGTAAGACAAGGAACTCCTGTATAGCAATTTCGCTTAGCTGCAACTGATTTAAAAGCCAATCTCTATCCATTTCTCTTTCTGAGGATAAGGGAAGATGAATGAAAACAGATTGGTGCTTGGGGCATAGTAGATGCTCAGGCTGCCCCTGAACTCACCACATAGCCCAGGCTGCCCTCAAAGTTGTAGTGATCTTCCTTGCTCAGTCTCTTGAGCATTGGGATAACAGACACATACCATCACACAAGGTTTAAAATTATGATTCTTAATGCTTCCCTTTTATCCTTTCCTTCTTTACTACCTTCCTATCTTTATCCTTTTATATGTTCTTTCCTAATGCACTTCTGATTTTCTTCAGTCGGACTTGTTTAGATTGGTTCTTCAATCTTGAAGAACAAGACCTTCCTTAATATTCTAGGGTGACTGTTTGTGGTGATAGTACAAAACTACATGCCAACATGCTTTAGGACATGTTTATAGTGTGTTATTTTAGAGAACAAAGGAGCTAAAAGCTGGACTGTTACAGACGGGAAGGGAAGAGAAATAATGGGAATCGTGAAAGGTCCTGATCAGGAAGACTGTGGTGATGACAAGATTGGTAGGTCAGGCTCCATGTGAGCTAGTCCTCCACTGGGCATCTGAAGCCAGGTCATGCGTATGTGTCCTCTTAGGAGGACTGTGTGAATTTTTAAAATGCCTATATTCTTTTTCCCTTGATGGTGTATAATGGTTTGGGATTCTACTTTATTACACATGCTCTCACATTTTTAAAAAATGGACATGTTTTTATAAGGAAAGATGTTTGGAATGCTCAACCAATAAATTAACCATCAAGATGTCTTGAATGGGGGTAATTTTGTTTTTGTGATCTTGAATGCCATTATTGTCCAGACAGAATTTAAACTACAAAGCGTCAGTGACCAGAATGCTCTACAAGTGCCAATCATGCAGCGCCAGGGACAGAATCTTTGCTATTCATCTCTCTTCTGAAATTCTCCCTCCTGACCTCTGTTCTTATCACACAATAAAAACATGTCAACCACCCCCAAAACTTACATTGCTGCAATTTTTTGTCTCACGTGGAGTAAGACTGTATGGCTTGAATTTTGTTTTGTCAAGAAAAGGAAAATTAGATCCTTTTCCATAGAAAAAGGGGCCTTAAATTTTGTCAGTTTCAAACAAGGAATGAAATAAATGCCTTCCTTAACATGAGAATGAATAACATTTCTATGTAAATGGATGCACCGTGAGGCCATACTCTTAAATGAAATAAAGCAGACACATGTAAACACCATACTGTTTTCCTGGTATGAGAAATCAAAAATGTAAATAAAGACCAAAATGTATAACAGATATTGTGAAATAGAAAATTTTCAAAATGAAAGGCAAACTACAGAGGGAGATGAAGGATGGAAGGAAGGGAGAAAAAAAAATGAGAAAAGGAGTAAATACAAACAAAGCGTTTGTAAATATGAAGAGGAGGGCAGTTTAGGGAAGGGGATGGGAATAGAAAACAAAGAATCTAGATGTATCATAATACAGGTACAGATTCCTTTTGATGAAAGTGATCATTACATATACATAAAATGTACCATAAATTTAATTAATTTTTAAAAAGTGACAGTGCAGGGATTTGAACCCTGCTGGTCCAGGCAGATCATTGGACACTTTCGCCAGCACCCAGAGGAAGAGACTTTTCTGTGCAGATTTTGCAGAGCTGCCCTGACTCCTGGCTGGGATCAGACACCTCAGAGGGTTGTAAGAAGACTGCCGGGTGCTACCACCAGCCTGGCCGGGGCCTCCGTGTGCCTGAGTGGGACAGCCCCAGGTTTCTGCAGAGGCATTCTAATCAGTACACCCCCATCCCCAGACCTTCTCTACAAGTTGAGAATACCTTCAGTGAAGCCCTGGAACTTTCAGGCACTCCATTTCCATATTTTCCTGAGATGATTCCACAGGCAAGTGGGGACCATGTCATTGCGCCAACCCCTAGGAAGAGAAAACCAGAGAAAATCAGTCATCCTGATGGGGATTGAAGGAGTGAGGGTGTTTAGACACAGCTTGGTCGCTTAGAGGAAAAAGCTGGCTAGATAAATGAATTAATACCAGCATATATCTTTCCAGCACATTTTTACATTTGCAAATTGTATTTCATTCTTTTATAAACTAATTAAACATACGCTGTCAGTTCTTGGAATGAGTTGCAAAAGCGAGCCCTGAAGGTTTGGCTTATCTGTGATGTTTTGATGTACAAGATTCATGGACAGAGAGATAAACACTTTCACTTACACAAAAATTCAGGGCTTCTCATGCCTGTTCAGGGCCTAATGTGATGGCTGGTGCAGAGCAGAGTGTAGTGCCTCGTAAACACTCGTAAGTGATAATAATAACAGTTGTTCTGGCTCAATTTTATCTTTTTTTTTTTTTCTTATGTAGACTTGCTGCCAGTTCTAAGAAAGAAAGTGATCTCTGGGTGTATCTTTTGGTACATAAACCTAAAAAATGAGGCTTATTCATGTTTTTCGTAGGTCCACGCTTCTTGTGTTTATTTTGCATATATATTTTTCCCCTTCTGTCGAGAGCATTATTTCTACACAAACATACAGTGCCTGGCTTGTTAATTGTTGGATTCCCTTTTGCAGGGCTGTATGAAATATAAATGTACGGGGTATAAATGTGTACATCCCTGATGTTTTGGGAAGGCACTCTGTATTCAGAGTTGCATGCTCGGGTGGGTGCTGCATGACTCTATCCACTGGTTTTTCTTTTTCCATGTATACATTTTCTAACAACTTGCTGAGTGCAGCTAAGTGCCACTCACAACTCACAACTCTGGACTTCATCAGTGAGGCCCTGCAGACCAAATAAGGCATATTCGATTTTGCTAGTCTCTGGGATGCATCATTCTCATAATCTTTATATTAATTAAGGACAGTTAGGAAAGTATTTCACTGACTTATTTTCCAAATTACTAATTTTCCTATTGTTAAAAGTAGTAGATGTACTTTTGAAGGTTACCTATTTTATGGTAGAGCTCTGGCAGTTGGACCTCCACCTTCTCTCTCTGGAAAAGATGGTACTCGGCCTGCTCACAGACCGGCGGGATCATATTGAACTGTCTTGCTACCGAATAGGCTTCCTGGGAGAGAAACAAGATCGCAAGGGATCTCAGACCGACTCACAGCAGGACTGCACGGTGAGGCATTTGCACGTGACGTGTTCATTTCAGTGAAGTCAGCACAAACCGAAGAACATATAGGATGCCAAATAGCAAGTCATGGCTGATTCCATCGAGAGCAATGCTGAATGTACCAATCCTCATTATTCCTTGGAAAAATTTGGACTTATTGAGGTGTAGGGCAAATTAATCAAAGTATGAATCATGGACAATAATAATAATAATAATAATAATACAGTTTTATTTTTTTAGGTTTTTGAGAAGGAATTTTTTTTTTTCTTTGCCACTTGAGGGTGCCTTAAGGGCAGGTCAGGCACAGCTTCTGGAGCTGGGAAGGGAACATGGGTCCTATGCATCTGCCTGCATTTTCCCAAGCAGCGCTTTAAACAACTGAGCTATCCTGCCAAGCCCACCCCCACCCCATTTTTAGGTTTTTAAAGAAATAAAATGTAAACTAACATACAAAAGTGATCTGTAGTTAATATGCTATACACAGAGTCATTATTAATATAGTCCCTAAGCGAGAACACTCTGTCATATATCTCCTCAGCTGTGAAGTTCACTTTACCCCCTTGCCACCAAAGAGTATGTTTCTTCCAAGAGGCCAGGGCGCTCCCTATTGGATTCTGAGCTGGTGAGCTCCAGCCCCAACAGTCATCTCCTTAATGATGTAGCTGACTTAGAATTCCAGAGTCACAGGGATTTTAATAAAAGTTAGCAGAAGATCTAGGAATTTGCACGCGGCCTCTGACGGCAGTGCTCAGGCGCCTGGCGGCCGCCTCGCACACAAAACAGACTTACCATGATCTCCGTCGCGCTCCACCGCGAGGTGCCCCAGTACATCGCCATGCCTTGGTTTATCACATGTGTCATGGCTCGAACGATTTCTAGGAAAGCCCAAACAGTATGCCAGGAGTTTCTTGACTGTTCAAAGCTGCATGATTATTTTCCCATCCCCCAAGTTTAATGCAACTATTTGTTTGATTAATATACTTATGTCGATTAATACAATTACTTACAATTATTATTACTTTGTTTGATCAATATAATAGAATTACATAAATAATATAATATTGATGACAATGTAATAGTCTAACAGGTAATATTGATGGCTTGAAGGCTGATGTTCCACATTCAGTTTTTAGCAACAGTGTTAATTGGTATTAAAAATAAAATGATCACTTCAAGTTCTTCCTTTGCTTGTACTGCTTGATGGTTGGTGGTCTGATGAAAGAATATGTAATTACTCTCTGAGAATCGGAGCACTTGCTCACCCAAGTGAGGAATGAGGGCAAGCATTTGTCTTGGCTTTGCAGAACGTAATGAAAGGCCTGTTTTCTTTGCACGTTGGGTTTGTGGAGCTGGGCCTCACACCGAGTAGCTGTTTGATAGAGATGACTCAGTAACAATGTGTTTAGCAGAAAGATAAACACATTAATGCTGAGCAAACAGCTGCAGCCACAGGGGCTCAAAGCCCACAGTGACACACCCTGTCCTTGACCACGTGGAACCAAATTTTGTTCTAAGACACTGGTGCAAATTGATTTCACCATGGCCTGCTGGTGAGCCCACCCAGCTTGCTTATCTGGCTCTTTCAGGTTGACATCACAATTCCTAAACAGGAAAATGAATCCTCTCCCTAGAGGGGTGGAGCTGAGCTAATCCTCTTGGCATCAGCTAGATGGGAGGCAGAACTAGAGGAGCAAGAACAGCCTTCAGTTCAATTTAGCAAACATTTGCAGACAAGACTGGATCTTTTCCACAAAGCAGGTCAGCTGTTTGGAGGAACAGCACTTGACATTTTCAAGGGGTCATGTGACCTCAGGGCTTTTCTATGTCCTAGTAATACCAGTAGGTTAAATGTCTTAAAAAAAATCCAGGGGCCGGGGAGATGACTCAGTAGAATAAGTGCTTCCCTGGCAAGTGCAAGGACCTGAGTTCAATCCCTGGTTCCACCAAAAAAAACAAAACCAAAACCAAAAACAACAAAAAACCCCCCAATCTTTGCCTGAGTAGAGTTGAATGTGATGAATTTTTATTTTTATTTCTCATGGGTAAAGGTTGTATGGGGCTGGGGTTTAGAATGAGAAGGCCAAGGTGAATGTCTTCAGCTCTTTGTTGTTTAGCTTATGTACACCATTTGAAGTTGCCTTTGGGTTCTCTGGAAGATGGGAATGGTTTCATTCAGTATTGGCTGGCCAACAGAGGTAGAATTTGGTTTATAAGCTGAGTATTTTTTTTTTCTTGGATAAAGATTCCCAAATCTTATATCACAGAAATTCAACTATGAAATTCATTTTCCTATTATTAAACTAATAAGATGAAAAAAGTAGTAAGAGCCTTCTTTTTCTTCTCTTTTAGAGCACAAGTGGAGTAAGTGCCAATTAAAAACTTTTCTGGAAGTCAAAAGCCATTATTAAATCTCTGGCCCAGAGCAGACCTCTGCACCACCGTGCCAGGGCCTTTCCCTTCCTGTAGAGCTTCCTTCCAAGCCAGAAGAGCATTCAGTGTCTGTTTTTCTCACTGCTAGAGATGTTGGGTAGAACAGGGTGGTAAGTACTGAAGAGTTTCACAAAAACTATACTGATTCGGACCCTACTCTGTGTCTCAGTCTTGGCACTCAAGTGAGATGAGTGCAGAACAGTTGGTGGCTGAGCCATCTGTAGCCCCTGGAGGCCTGGCCCGCCAGCGAAGGTGGTGGAGGTGTCGCTCGCTGTACCTATGCAACACACAGGCAGGAAGAATCTAGTATTGGCAGGTACTGTGCCAGTTGCTGGATTCCTTTCAGAGCAAAACAGATACAAAGTTCCTAAACCCAGGGAGTTTAGAGTTGAGTGAGGGAAGACAGAGAAATAAACAAGTTACAAAACGGGAAGTGCTATGGAGAAGACAGAGGTGGCTGGGATCAAAACGGAAAGGAGGCCTGGTAGGACTGAGATGGTCCCACTGAATAGGTATGTTTAGGGAGGAAAAGTGGCCTGTTATGCGAAGAACAGCAGAAAGACACTTTAGAACAGCGGAAGAACACTTTAGGGACTAGCATGTGCGAAGTCCCTGAGGCAGGGCCAGGCTTTATAAGCTCCAGCAACTGGAGAGAAGCTGTGTGGCAGCAGGAGCCCTATGGTAGTGCGGAGGGATGATGGGTGTGGGATCCACGTAGCTCGCAGAGGGCAACCATGCTGTTTGCATATTATTCCAAGTTTAATGGAGCCATTTGCTTTTGTAGACAAGGGAATGACATATTTCACCTAGTTTACATTTCAGAACACCGACTTTGCCTGTGCATGGAGGGTCCACTGCAGACTCTGCGGTGTGCAGGGGGGGGGAAGGGACTTGGAGCAGGGTGATGTCAGCAAAGAGAGAGGCTGAATGTGCTAAGCAAGGGAAGAGAGAATGTGTGTCCAGATCTCTGACTGGCTGATGAGAGAGGAACATTTTGGGAGGAAAATCAAGGCACAGTGCCCTTGAGAGCATGAATAGGCTGCTGAATGTGGTGCGTTTCTTAGCTACCAGTGTGTTGACTATAAATTCATGGCAGTGGATGAAACTACCTAAGGCAAGTCAGCTAGTTGTTGCTAGCTGTGGTCCGAGAGAGGACGCTGTGCAGCATGCTGGGTGATCCGGAGCCAGGGGGGCAGGAAGGAAAGAAGGGGGAGAGAGATGCGTCAGAACCAGGAACAGGGAGTGCTACAGGGAGTGTGCCCGCAGGGCGGACGCTACACACATCCCGGGCAGGGGTAGTGCCTGGGGTCCACCTGCAGGCAGCAGTCTCAGTGTGAGAAGGAACTAGGCTCAGGCTGAGGCAGTGGCTGAGTGGAGGGGCCAGGCAAGCTTTAGAGACAACCTGTGAGGAGGACGCCCCCAACAGCTTTGCGAGTCATTCAAGGGATGTTGAGCAGCACCGGAGGTGTTCAGGGCCAGAGGAGAATTTTAGATGGGAGAGGTAAGAGTATGTGTGTGCCCTCAGGGCTGAGGTAGAAAGCAGGGGTGAGCTGGACAAGGGTGCTGGGAAGGAAGGAAGGAAGGAAGGAAGGAAGGAAGGAAGGAAGGAAGGAAGGAAAGAGAGGAGGAAGAAAGGGAAGGAGGGAGGGCAATCGACAGGGTGAGACAGAGGAGGGAAGGCAGCGGGCAGGGTGGGGCATTTCTGTTGGGATGGGTGACCAGTCAGGAATGTAGAGCTCCTGGGAGGCTCTAATAATGTCTCTTCCCAGTAAACTGTGACTCAAGTAAAAGGAGGTGGTTGGAGAAGTGAGGCAAAAGGGTGGCGTCCCTGGGATGCCCTCCAGCTGCCCGGGGCTCCTCGGGGCTGTATTAGCTCTGACTGCAGAAGACTGGGAGGAAGCACAGAAGACTCCTGGAGTTTCCATCCTCTAAGCAGGCAGCAGCCCTGGCCGCAGGGAGAAGCAGGGAGAAGATCAGGCCACAGCTGGGGCGCCACACAGCCCCAATTAAAACTGAGTTCATTCATAGTATATTAGCTTTTTTTTTCAGGTCAGAGAAAAATTTCCCGCTTTGTTTAATTAGCTAATCCGAAATAACCGCGTTGATCAGGCTGAGGTGGGTTACGCATAATTCTACTGCGTATGGACGCTAGAGGGCAGCATTGTTGAAAGAAAAAAAAATCAGCCGGGCCTGGGCACTGTTGTGAGCCTTTGCATTTCAAAATGCATTTGAAAGGAATAGATTCTGAATAAGAAAAAGACATTGGACAGCCGATTTACTGACAATTCTCGAGCCCCAAACCACGGGCTTCTCCAGAAGGTTCCGCGGCCGTGGTTCCCTGAGTGCCCTCTGCGCACTAGACGTGGTGTGCCACACAACCTACCCGTGGCCAGGCCCCCGCCCTGCTGTTCCACCCTAACTTGGGGAGAGGCCCTGACGTCGGTATTTTAGAAACTGAGCCCGGAACAAGGTAGTGTGCAGCCAGGGTTCGGAACCACTTTACTTGCTTTCTCAGTCTCAAAGCCTAGCACTGGTGGCATCTGCCTCCCTCCGGAATTCGTTCCAAATGCATCCCCAGAGCCCTGCTCAGAAGAGGGGGCTGTAAGTTCTGCTGGTGGGATTCTCTAGCCTAGTTTTTAAGCATTCCTGCAGCCAACTCTTGCTCGCTGTAAGGTCTGAGAACTCCTTCATACCCTTTGCAAGTTAGCTATCCTAGCGGTCAGCTTCCTCCCACGTTTCCTTTTTTATCTTCATCTACCATAATGCTCCAGGCTATTATTATAAACAGGTACATTAGATAGAAATTAATATATAGTTAGAGAGGGATTGGGCCTACAAGGAAATCAGCAATAAAATTAGACATCGAAACTGTGGCTAGAGGCAATCCAACGAGCCCGGCCTCAGGATGGAGACTCAGCACCGGCCAGGCCTGCGAGATAAACGGCAATTTGAGAGCAAGGGCCTGAGTTCAATCCCTAGTCCTGAAAACAAAAAAATGAGAGAGAGAGAGAGAGAGAGAGAGAGA